AAGGAGAACATGCAAACTCCACGCAGAATGGCCTGGAGGAGACGAGGGGAGGCTGGGTGTGAGGACGCTGGAGCAGGATGAAGGTGGTTAGAGCTCGGGTGGAGCCGGTGGACCGACGGGTGTAGCCAAAGCAGATCAAAAGTTCCTGAGGACTCCTGTCGCTTTGAGGCGGGATTTCACTGCTAGAAGCTCTCACCGGATTTTAAATTTGTTTGAGGATGATGAAGGGACTTCCAGAGTGACGGCGCTCCGACCGACGCTCCAGATTCTGGACACGTGATCGAAGACTTCTGCAGGCTGGCCCGCTTTGGTTTGACCGCTGCGATCCACGTAGAAGATGGATCGGTCCGCCCGGGCACGATTAACCAGAAGACAAGAACAAACTCTGAGTTTGATAACCTGCATGAAGGTTTGGGGATCTGAAGAGGCTGGTGCAGCTGCGAGGAGCAGCAGAATGAACGAATGAATGAACGAACGAACGAATGAATGAACGAATGAACGAATGAACGAATGAATGAACGAACGAACGAACGAACGAACGAATGAATGAATGAATGTCTGAACCAACGCTGCCTCAGTTCTAAAGCAGCTCAGTGGGCTGGACTTGAACAGTGAACAGAAAGGCCTCGTGACTCCATGAACTAACACAATGCTTCATAAAATTATCACAAAGACACAAAACATGTTTACAGACGCACAAAAAGACCACAATGACACACACACACACACACACACACTGACATCACACACACAACACGACAACAAAGAGACACAAAGGGAGCATTGTCAGTCATCAGAGCTGTGTAGTTGTGTGTTGCGCCCTGACAGCAGACTGCAGTGTGTGTAGTTGTGTGTCTGCGTTTCATGACTGACAGTAGCTGTGCGACCTCGAGGTCCTGGGAAGAAGCTGCTGCTGCTCCGAGCAGATCCCCGAAATCCACATCGTCTCATGTGTTTGTGCTGCGGATTAACCACGACTCACACTGGAGCAGAACGACGTGTGTTGTTTTTGTGTCATGAGTACAGCAGGACTGTGTGTGTGTCTGTTCACAGCAGTGTGTTACTGTTGTGTAGCGTGACGGCCTG